AGCAGTCCCAGACTGCATGCTGCACAAGGTATCGACTAGTTTATCTCACTGCAAGTTGTAACTTTGTCTTAGGCAGGGCACCTTTTCTCTCCACTCTCATTCAGTAGTGGTACACAACGAGTGTTTCGGGAGGCGCAATTTGCTCGACCATTGGTACATGGATTATGCAATCATCCCAGAGCGGTTGGCCTCCATTCAAATAAATTCCATGGGGATTCGGCACCAGACCATGTTTCAGATGAAAGTTACAGAGACATCGCACGCTCAGGAAGAGATTAAAGGCATGGGTATTTCTGGTACAAGTTTCCAACTGGGCGGAGAGTCCTTGCGGGCAATACCTGCCTCTGTCCATTATGTCATCTTTGTAATTAACGTCTGACCCCAACTTGTCAAGATAAGTCCGAAAACACAAAACTCAATCCGTGTTGAAGGAGATGACTCAAAGTTCGAAGCATAGTCAGGTTCGGTTAGATGAACTCAGATGTGACGTATGTTATAATTTCATACCGCAACTCTGAGCTCATGATTCAGCTTGAGACAGTTCCCACTTAGAAACACACCGAATTACTAGCAACTATGGGTGCTCAGATATAACGCAGGGTATTCCTTTAGCAATCTCTATACCATCCTCAGTGTGTGGCCCTTGACACAGTGGCTTATAGGAAGCTTGCACCCAGCATGTAAATCTTCATTCTCAGATTACTCTCATGCATCATGCGAATCAGGCACTTACAAATTCGGGACATCTGCAGCAAACAAGGTTTAATCCCTGACGTGACTTGGGCAGAGTAAAGTCTATCAGTCCCCATCAAGTAGAAATTTGGCCAGAAGATAAGCAATCTCCCTGAAGACTACTCTCTTCTTGCCCATTCATACTCGATTGGGGAGAGGTAGCTTTACGCTTGTCAGGGCTGTCTTTACACTCAAGGCTCATCGTCAATCGGTTCAAACCCAGATTAGAGTGACCACCCGTTCTTTCCTCACATGCCACAAAATTACAGAAGTTTAGGACAGAGGGTTTCGAA